TGTCCATTCCACTAGACAGATGGACATAAATGGCATCAGCCCTTATGAATTGTGTTGTGGCTACCCAATATTTGAATGGGACCTTTGTTATGTGACACCACTTGTTCACTTGAATCAGTCTTGTTCAGATGATAACATTGTGCCACCAGATGGCAGCAGACATCAGCACTAGTCTTCACTGTAAACCTCTAAAAATAGACCCATGTCATGGTGATGGGACAATTCAGATGGAGACAGCTTGGTGGTTTCTCACTAACAGGCAGTCATCCCTCACTGAGATGCTCTAATGTTCAGTTAATATGACTGAATGAGAGGACATCACCCAACACCCCCCACCACCCAGCACAGCAGACGCTCAGTCTCACTGAGCTAATGATGATGAAGTCCTACAGAGACCAAGAAGCCTGTGGTTTGTTTTACAACACAACTTCCTCTCTACTAGATTAGAGCAGATTACTGACTAAACAGGGATTAATGGAGATCCATTTACGAGGCCTGCAAGGTGAATCTGATGAGGCTTCTCTGCAACGTAGTTCTACGCTGCAGGATGTTAGAATTACAGAGCATTTGCTTTCAGGTCATTCCAGTTTTATTGGATGATGCTTTGTCTGTGTGTTTGATTCCTTTGATTAGCCAGCCGCCTCAGATTAATGATTGATCTAGTCTGGTAAGAGATGGAATCACCAACGAATGAGGGTTCACTTTAAGGCTAACAAACAAGTGTTTCTAAAAAACTGTATGGAGACGGTGATGGTGTGTCCTTGAAGAAAGACTTAGGACAAACACAACTGACACCAGAGACTTTTATGACCATTTATAGTCTTGGCTATAAAAGGTCATAAAAGTCTCTGGTGTCAGTTGTGTTTTGACGTCCTGCTGCACTTCTCTTCTCTACAATTTAAATTTAAATACTGTAACATTTTAAATTAACAATCCATGCATGGATTGTTAATTTAAAATGTTACAGTATTTAAATTGTTTATTTAAGGAGGGAGATTGGGAGTAACAGGTGATGAGTGTGATTACAACCTGGCACATGTCATGACAAGTCAAGTCAGATTTATTTATAGAGCACATTTAAAACAGAAACTGTTACCAAAGTGCTTAACAAAAATATCACATCATCAAATAAAAAGTAGCAAGATATATTTACAGCACATGGAATAAAAATATAAAACCAAAAACAATTAGAAACAATGAAATACTAATATGGATTTTTCATTTCAGCGACTGAGAACGCTCAATCTCCTCTGAGCTTCAGCCTGGTTTTTGGTACGGCCAAAAGCAGCTGGTCTGAAGATGTCAAAGCCCGAGAAGGAGCATAAGGATGAAGAAGGTCAGAGAGATATGATGGTGCAAGACCGTTAATGCACTTGAATGTCAGCAGGAGGATTTTAAAATCAACTCTGACACGTACAGGAAGCCAGTGAAGGGAGGACAGAACCGGAGTAATGTGCTCAAATGACAACGTTTATTGAACTTGAACTAAACTTGAACTTGGATTACTGCATATCTACTTCACGGTTTTTCACTTATCGCGGGTGGGCATGGTCCCAAACACCCGCGATAAATGAGTGCACATCCAATGAATACTTAGTTGTATTAAAATCTATCTCTTGAGTCATGGCATATTTTGCTAACAAGCAAAGAGGGTAGACTCTAATAGTTAATGCTAAAGTTTTGTGGAAAGATCATGCACAGTGAATAACACTTTGAGTATGTGTTGCAAATTATTCAGATTTTAGCTCAGTATCGATAAACACTGACTGATTACAGCCACGTTGTGTTTTGTAAGGTCATCTCATTTGGACTGGGTGGAATCAGTTTGGACAGGTACATCTAGCTGTTATTTATTGAAGGTTTTATTAAAATCCATTCAACGGTTCATGAGATATTTTGTTAACACAGACAGATATACAAATACACACAAGAGAAAATATTCATTCTTTCATTCAAAATATTAATTCATGCACTTTTACCCACTGGTGGGGGAGTGATAATCAGCTTACTAAATATATTACCGTATTTTTCGGACTATAAGGCACATTAAGTGAAACAAGTTCATTTTGACAGATTTTTGAGTACCGTGTTCCACATAAAATCGGTTCGAGATCAGTAAGCACAACCAGAATTAATACATAAAGTGAATCGCATTATAAAGCTCACTGTCGAATATTGAGAAAATCAAAGGATTTTAAGTGCACCTTATAGTCTGACAAATACGTTATACAAGTTCATTAAAACCGAGTCTTGCAGAAATCTGCAAGTGATATCTGCAAAATTATTGTACACAAAAAATATCCAGTAAGATTTACAAATGATCCTTCAAGTAACTGTTTATGTTCATTTTTATACATAAAGAAGAAAATAAATAAAACGAAGCACCGTGTGGGGGTTGCACCATGGCCTCACACACAGAAAGCCTCTTGTTTGCTTTCGGGAGGTTGGTCTGAGTTATTTCCAGTCATTTTGTACCTGAACACTAACATATATTTTAGTC